TTCATTCATTCATTCATTCATTCATTCATTCATTCATTCATTCATTCTACCAAAGCGATCAGAGTTGGCTTGTCCTGGATCAACCCATGAAAAGTATCTGAAAAGAGATGTTTGAGATGGAAAGGATGCTGGGGTTTTCTTACCAAATCCTACAGAAAAGGATATCTTCCAGGTACAATCGCTATTGCTAGGGTAGTTTCCAGGGAAGCCAGGGCTCAGGATGACACCTTCCATCTCTTCCAAGATTCCTCCACACTGAGCTGTTAAAATTACAAAAAAGCAAATGGTCATAAACTATTTCAGGTTTTTGTCTTTGGGTTGACTGTGAGCACAGGCTTGATATGAGAAGATTCCATGTACCACCTCTAGAATATCTAAAAAAAAGTTGAGTAGGAGATGCCAAAACCATTACCAGTCAGCTTAAACTACAGGTAGTCCTTGACTTTTGACCACAATAGGGACTGGAAAATTTATCATTAAGCAATGTAGTCGTTAAGTGAGGCATCATGTGACTGCACCCAATTTTACTACATTTTTTGCAATGGTTGTTAAATGAATCACGTGATCATTAAGTGAATCATGCAATCTTTAAGTGAATCATGCAGTTCCCATTGATTTTGCTTGCTGAAAGCTCCCTTGGAAGTTTGCAAATGACAATCAAATGACCCCGTGATCATAACAACCATCATAAATACATGCCATTTGCCAAGTGCCTGAATTATGATCATATGACCACAGGGACACTGCAATGGTTGTAAGTGTGAGGACCAGTCATAAGTCACTTTTTTCAGCGCCATCGTAACTTTGAATGGTCACTAAACAAATGGTCATAAATTGAGGACTACCTGTCTGTTCAGCTAAACCAGGCATAGCAACTTGTGGTTCATAGATTGCATGTGGTCCCCAATCCCCTCATCAAATGTGCAAAATCTTTACTTGAAACTTAAAATGAGAGCCATATTATACCTGAAGTAGGATTTTAGAATGCAGGTGAGATCGGCAGGGAACCATATTCCATGAAGGAAACCGAGGGCTTGATCCCAATTCTTCCATTCCACATCTCTTAGCCCACATTTGTTCACCCTCCAGGTTGAACTAACAATATAGCTTCACTGAGCATTAATCGTGCCAAAATTGATGAGACTGGTGTTTTCTTTATTCACCCCTACTGGGTTGTCCATGAAGGAAGGTGGTTTAAAAAAAAAATCAAGATGGTGGCCACAACCACACAATTGAAGCCCTGCCCTATTTAATGTATGTTACGTGCAAAAAAGGGGTGTGGATTTGATCCTGCGGTCATCGCTGTGGCCACCATTTTGATTTTTTTAACTTCCCCATGGATGCCCTTCCCAAACAGAGAAGTTGCTATTCTAGACAGCATTTAACATGCTAGCAATGCTAGCAAGAAAATTTATGGAGGTGATGCCTTCCTGTTCCTCAACACCTGACTCCTAGATCTGGGCCAAGTTTCCATCTTCCAGTTGTATATCTGTAACCAGCAGAAGGAATAACTTTGAAGAACAGAGGAAGAGCCACAACCAAAACAACAGTCAAATAAAAGAAATTTGAGTCCAGGGTGGAAACGTAATCTGAGATAGTGTCTCAGATGTGACCTTCCCTAGTTCTCATGAAGATGGAGGGAGGGAGGGAGGGGAAAACCATATTCAGATTTACAAGATTCTGTTACCGAAACCTTATAACAAAAGTAGTATTAGCATTCATAACTTTGGTTTCCTGGTCTGGTCTACCTTGAAGGGCTGGCAATATCCCAGACCACTTCTTGGACTATAATAGCCTTTCAGCTCTCTTTAATACAGTCCAAATTAGAACCTAGAGGACCGTACTTTTAATCCACCCTGACACTTGACAGCACAGATTCCTTCCATTATATGCATTTTTTTTCCTGACGACTCTATTGCTTTCTAATTTCATATCCCCTGATGTCAGTTTAAATGAAACTCCTTCTCAATTATTTAAAAAGGGAAACATCTGGATAAAGGAAGAAGGGAAATCCCTAACCAGTCCATTTTGTAGGGACTCGGTAGCATTTTATCAAAACTTGATTGCATCTGTCTTTCGGAATGTGACAAAACAATATTTATACATCTCTACTATCATTTTTTCAGCAAGAAAGGAAGCATTCTGTCAGAGGCAATTTCTTATTCAGGAGGTGCAGCCAGAAAATCCGGCATATGATTGAATGCAACAGATTAAGCAGCCCATTTCTAAAAGGAGGCAGCAAAAAACAAGCACATGGAAAATGTGTTTTTTATTCTAGATGTTTTAATTCTATAGCATTACAAACCAAAATACAACTTAGCTTTCTTTCTCTGCATCAGTATATTTTACTTTAAAAAAAAAAGATTTTACACATTGTGTGATGCTTAAAAAATAGCTGGGCATTGTGTAAAATGAAAAGAAGGATGGGCAAAATTCAGCAAGATGGGCGCTGACAAATTTGATATATAAAATAAATAAAAATAAAATTAAAGCAAGCTGGGGACAACCATTCCAGTTCTGAGACTATTTGTTTCCCTTTCCTGCCACTCTCTTTCCTCTCCACCCAACAGGAGATTATAAAACAGGTTCAAACAGGGTCAAACTGATATCCTGCATAGGAGTTTTAAAATTAGACCATGAGC